ACTTGATTTACTGAGTGGCTCACTTTTAAAAATTCCAGTTAACATAATGCATTAAAGTATATATTTAAATCTATACCAAATATGTGATATATGAAGCATAGGGAAGTGTAGGTATATGTGAAATACATACACTAAAATGTATTAGAAACATTATAAATATATAAGTGAAGTCTCTCTCTAGTCAAATTTTCTGTACTAATCTCCATTCATCCCATTTTTGCCCATCTCAGTTGTGCCGTGTGTTTCAGACTGGCAGCAGTTACAGACATGATTCTAGGGTGCCTGGAATGACCCTGATTGGGCCTATGTAGGTAGGAACCCCCATTCTTCCTTAACTGTTATCACACTCTGTGAAGATCATTGATCCTTGCTACAGCATTAAAAGCCTCACACAGATCCAGGGTTGCATGGAAAAATCAGAAAAATAGCATCTGTGAGATCTTGCTGGAGCCAAGCAAGAGCTGGCTAAAGGTGAGAGAGGACCCGTGAAGGTGTTTTATGTGCTTTCAGGAATAAATCAAGTTAGACTTTGACTCTTGAAGAAATAAGCAATCTAAAACTGCAGTGAGCTGTCAACACTAGGGGAGATTGGGTGAAAGAGACAAGAAATTCTGTATGTTTCTTTGTTCCTTCCTGTGATTCTATAATTATTCCAGAATAAAAAGTTTAAACATTTTTTTTAAATGCCTGAGAACTGAAAGGTGCTATTTTGGTTGATTGGAGAGGATTAAATATATTATACATTAAATAAACAGAGTCTATTGGGGGTATCTACAAAGAATATACCATCAAAGTGTTTTTTAAAATTTTGTTTGTTTTAAATTGCCATATTTATCTCTGCCGGGTAATTTTCATCATGTGATGAGTTCATGACCTCAAAGCATTCCTAAAAAAACCATATGTCCATGGATTGTTTAGAACTGTCATGGGTGGTTGGGTGTCATTCTTTTTAGACAAGATGTCACTGGAGATGTGCTTTGTGGCATATGGGGATATGACTAGAAAGTAGATAAGGTGAATAGCCATGCATGTAATATTTATCTGATTATGAACAGCTCCATCCATTTTTCCCTTTTATCTCAAATATTTAAGCCAATTTAATGAGTACCAATGTAAATACATATTTTTTCTCATATTTGTTCATGGATAAAGAAGAATAATTATAGCAAATATATGTCTCATGCTGAGATCAACTATTTCAAGTTCAAGCTGTGCATAGTTTTGCAGCAATAAATCAATAAATACTATCAGTGGGTCTGTTATATAGTTAAATATTACGATGTCCCAAGAATTCTAGGCAGTTATTGTCTTTATTATACAGTAAATGAAGATGACATGCAAAAAATATTTAAAACATAAGCATTCTCAAAAACAAAGGTTAGAAAAATTTCAACTAATTTTTTTTTATAATTGATGTTGGCTTCTTTTTTGTTGTTTTTTTATTTATATTTTTTTATGTGGTGCTGCGGATTGAACCCAGGGTCTCACACATGCACGGCGAGCACTCTACCACTGAGCCACAACCCCAGCCCCCCCAACTAAATTTTTAAAGAATGTTAAATGGCATTTTCATGAATATAAAATTTGAGCATCTTATTTAACTCTGCTTTGAGCATTTTAATGATAGGTGAAAACTTGAGGGACAGGATGTGTTCCTGCCTGGGCTATCACTGAAGTGCTTTACACTGAGAAGCACTCCTTGAAGTCTCTAAGAAGTTCCCTGTAGATAGGACATTATTTATACCCATTCCAATTCCACTCAAAACACATTTGTAAATGAAAGGGGTCATATCCTATTGGGATGAAGAAAGGACTAGCAGTCAACATAGCACCTGAGAAAGGAATTCTTAGACTGGAGAAGGAAAGCCCTGGAAAGACACCATTATCTTCTGATACTTGAAGCACTATCACAAGTAAAATACTGTTTACAGACTTGTTCACTTTTATCCTGGGATGTGTATAAAGATACAGGTAGGAATAGTGTCCAAAGTTACAGAGACCTATTGTTTGTCTCAGTGTGAAGAATCTTATATTAGCTTAAACGGCCTAGTATTTAGTGAAGCTCCATACTACTCAGACATACTTGAGTCTGAGCAGAGCTGGGTGCTGGAGTAGGAATGTTATGTATGTATGGGGGAAAGGGTTTCCTTAGGGAGCCTGTTGTGCCTAGCTAGAATTCTTTGAGGTCAAATCAGATTGAGCAACGTTAGTTGATTTACCCCTTTGGTGATGACCACTAGCCTACTGCTGATTACTTGTCCAACACACACATCTACTGAATATCTGCTGTGTGCCAGGCACTATTGCAGGAAGTGAGATCATATTGGTTAACCAGAGACTCTGCCCATACAGAACCTACTTTCTACTAACAGGCATATGGAAGAGATGCTTTTCTGAGATAAAAACTCCAGTACTGTGCTGGTAATAGACCAAAAATATGTCACAGGCACTCATGTTCTACATATTTTTATAAATCAAAACAGATTCTCATTGAAAAGAATCCATTCTGCTTTTGTTTTTCATATTTATATTTGCAAAGGCATAACAGGATATACCAAGATGTATCTCTTTTTTATGATTGCTACAGTCAGTATGGAGAACCCAAATAAAATATAATATTGCTTAAATAATGACACTTCTCTAACAAAGGAGGAAAACCTGTGCATATGAAATTCTATGTGGGTTTGACTTCTACATAGATTAACAGGACAATATAGTTTTGGCTAGTGACTGTTTTCAAGTTTCACATACCAAAATTTGATAACTGGAGATTTCCTTTACTGGTGGAGTGAACACTGGCATGTTATTTAACATAAATCTGTTTTCTAATCTTTAAAATAGCAAATGCCTCATGAGTGCTTGCACTGTAAGAGATTTGCTGAATGAATGAAAGATTTGAAATACTCAATGAGGAATGCTTCTATCACAACTATCATTGTAACAAGTACACAACATTTTCTACACAATGATGGGTGTGGAGGAAGTGATAGTAGTAACGACTGGTTATAAAGCTGTCTCTCTGTGGAGATGATATGATCCTCCGTGGAAAACTATGAATTTATTAAAGAAAAATCTGTTAGCACTAATAAGTGAGTTGAACAAGATTGCATGATATGAGATCAACATAGCACAATCATATTTTATTTTATATACTAGCAACCAACAATTAAAATTAAAATTAAAATGATAATGGCATTTGTAAAACAAAAATATAAAATGTTTAGAGATAAATTTGACAAAAGATATGCAAGATCTGTATTCTATAAAGTGCTGCTGTGCTTTGTCTTCCATCCAGAAATGGCCTGGTTTCATGTCATGTCCATCTCTGACTAAAGATCTCCAATTGCCCTGTGCAGCAGCACCACTCATGGTTGTGAGTGATTCCACAAAACTAGCCATGGTATCTGTAATGGTGTGTGTCCTCTTCTCGGATGTACTCACACCTGGCTTGGTATTCAGCCCTCAGAGCCTTCTCTTAACCTTAATGTCCTATTGACATTCTATTCTAGCTCAGCCCAGTTATAGAACTGTTATTCAGTTAGCAAACACACATCACTGTGTTTATAATCACAAGTTTTGTTTTAACTTTGTCTTGTTTTCTTCTCATTCTCCTATCTTGCATCTGCTTTTCAAATGTCACATTGGAATTTCTATTCTGACTCCAGGTATCACTCATAATTTTTCAGGAATTTATTATGCTTTACATATTTCCACTGATAATATTTAAGATTGTCTATTGTCTCATAGCATGTCAATATGGAGCATTCTTTGGTGAATAACTTTGGAACTGAAATGTCAACATCAATTGGGTAAATCTCACTTTGAATGTTTTAGCTATTCTGAGCTGTGGGCAACTCTCAACTCTGAGTATTTAAGCTTGTTTCTGGACAGACGCCTTCTTCCATCCCAGTTGCTATAGTTGGCAGTTAGCTTATGCAGGGTCTGCAGGCCAAATTATGTGTCTAATTTAGACAAAAGTCCAATAGGAATACAGAGGCTAGAGTGTTCCAGGACACAACTAGAAAGCAGGTTCTTGAATACTTTGTGGATTTTTTAAAAAAATCTTTAAAAGGATTTACATGAATTTCACACCTTCTGTGAATACCCTATGAGAGATTTTATAAGCTGAGACCCAGATTTTCCCAAGATGATGGCCATTGCTTTTGATTCTCTCCCCATGTTGGATGAGGACATACCAAGCACTGTGTTTTTCTCTGTGATTTTTTCTGGAAGATGTCTGATTTCCTGGTTGACACTTGTTTCAGCTATGAAATGGAAAAGTTGTGGGTTAGTGGATCTGATATTTTTGTGTATCCAATTTAAAATGATTGTCCGTGAGCATCTCTTAAAGTGGGTCAGGGTTTATTTAGGGCCGTTTGTAGAATTCTTGAGGAGGATAGAACTCCTTCAGAAAGTGTGTTGAAATGTCTGCTTCTCTGATTGTTATGGAATAACTGTGACATTTGATTTTCAAGGAAACAGTATGGAGGAGGCTTACATCCTTATAGGCAAAGGGCTATCAATTCTACCAGGCAAAAGAACATTTGAAAGTTTTCTTTTTCATTTTTGTGAATGAAAAATTTAGCAAAGAAGAGATTTTTGTTGCATAGGTGATCAACTCAACATCAGGTCAAATGGAGATATGGGCTGGCAGTGGCATTGATTTCCTATGTGACATGAAAGTGTTTTGATCCCAGACCCACTATCTTCCCATTCCTCCCGGTTGTCTCTTTCTCTATATGTATGACATGTCTATCTCCAAAATTCAAATAAAGTATTTATGAATGCAATTATGCTTCACAAATAGTAGATGAACTATTTAATCCAATCCCACCAAGAATCATTTTCTTATGTAAAGAGTGACATCTGCATTAATCTCACATTATGGATTTTTTTTTTCCCCATATGCCAAGATTATTCAGCACACCCTCTGGAATGGGGCTGCTGACTCGGGGTCTTCTGTTTGCTGTAGCAGTCATACTCTCACCATTTTCTCTTAGGGGTCATCACTGCTGCAGATGTTCTTGACCGCGAGACAACAGGGTCCTATTGGCTGACGGTGTATGCCACAGACCGGGGTGTGGTCCCACTCTACGCCACCATTGAGGTCTACATTGAAGTTGAAGATGTGAATGACAATGCCCCACTGACCTCGGAACCTATTTATTATCCTGTTGTCATGGAAAATTCTCCCAAGGATGTATCTGTCATTCAGATCCAGGCTGAAGATCCAGACTCCAGTTCCAATGACAAACTGACATACAGGATCACAAGTGGGAATCCTCAAAATTTTTTTGCCATCAATATCAAAACAGGTAAGGGAAGGCTTATATGATTATTTTTTAATATAGATAGTCCAGGATTTAAATTTATCACCCTGACCTTGTTGTTCCAGATTGTTTATTTTATTGTCTAGAGAACAACATCTCCTTTCTGGAGGTGGTTTCTGGAAAGGTGAGTGCTCCTCCTGTTTCTTTAGTGTGTGTTAATTTCACCTAACACTGAGGTGAAGTGGTCTAACAGGAATCGAGCTTGCATAGAAAGCAGTGGATTTGCTTTGCCCATGGTAATGAAATGTGGTTTCCTGGATGCTCAGATTGCTGTCTGCCTCCTTTTCTTTCTTGAGAGAGGGTATTCTGGCCTGTCCAGGGTTCTTGGGCAAGTGTAGCCTGGTCTGCCCAGCTGACTTTGCAAGGCCTGTCCTTCCATGAACTTCTCCCTTGCTTGGTTCTGTCCAGCTTTCTGTAGACAATATCCTTTCACCTTATACTCCCACACATTTTGTGACCCCTGCACTGTCCATTAATGAGTGTCAATTTTCAAACAACTTCCAGTGTCTCAATCTTTTCATAAAATATGAAAAACTTTATTTTTTTTAAATCTTTTGCTCAAAAGGTTTCTAAAGATTATAATAAGAGCTGAATTTGTTAGATAAAGGTCAAAAGGCCTGAGGATTGGGAGCAGGTGTGCAGTTTGGTTGACTGTGCTCTGAGACAAGGACACCCACTGGAAAGGTGCTCTGCAGAGGGCCAATGCTTGCTTGTGATTTGCCACTTTTAGATCTGAACAAAGGAATAAAACACTGAGAGGTGTATTTTACAGGGTATTATTCATTGAAATCTAGAATAATGTAAATTAATTTTTCCCTGGGTCAGTGAGCAGGTACTGCTCTAAAGTTAGGCTGGGTTGATACTTGTTTGTATGGGCAGACTCAGCTTTCCCAACAACTGATAGTTACTTCTGCCTTTATTTCTTAAAGGAGAAATGTACAGTTGACCCCACACAGGTTATCAATGTCAGATTGCTATTGAAATACTTTCAACAGAATACCAGATTTTTAAAAAAAACATATTGTCACTTTTCTCTGATTTTTGAACCAGTCAGTGATTATGTTACTCAGACTTCTGATTCAAATGATATATGACAGGATTTGTCTGGTGTTTGATAGAGTGGTCATCAGCTAGCAGTGTCTGACTAAGGCCACCTTGTATGGAAGGGGAGGACTCAGAGGAGACTGGCCAAACTGTCAGAGCCACACTAAGTCTGGACAAGTCCCCAGGCACCCACGGAACCAACTTCCTGATTTTTTTTTTGTTATGACAAAGAAATTCATGTACTATGCAGACAGATAAATAAATTTAAAGACTTTACAAATGTAAAAGTAAGGATAAGGGAAGAGGGAGAGAGGACAGAGAGAAAGCAAAGATATTTTAAAAGTCCCGGTAAAGAAGTTGACGGCACAGACATCTTCGTATTCACCACCCAGTGGACTTTTCAAATGCCCTAGTCAGATTCTGTGTCTTCCATCTTGATCCTATTGCCACCGAGTGGTCATTTCATTAGTGGTGGGCCCAGCATCCTCCTTTGAAGTTTAAAAAAAAAAACTGGAAAAGGTTAGTTTCACGTGTCTTCTTCTACTTTGGACTGAAAATGAAGAAAAATCAGCATAGGTAAGAATTTGGGTAGGACGTGAAGAACTTAGACAACATATTTTGTACACTGATATATCTAAAGCTATCTTTTATACGACTTTTTTTTTTTTTTTTGAAATTTCAAAGACCTGTATTATCATAGTTTGGCTTCCATTGCATAGTAAGAGCCTTAGTCACATCCATAATTTTCGGACTTGCCATAGAATTTAAAAGAGTATTTGTGCCAGGAATGACATTTTGGTTTAACTGGTCTAATCGTGTTAAAGAAAAATATAGCCTACTTTGTAGTTTTCAGACACAGAAAATGAAGATACTGGATTTTATTTGTCAAGTTATTCAATCACTAAGTATTTATTTTGCCTATTAATTTTACAGCAAGATCTAATAAAAAAGATTATAAACTTAAGACATGGTCCAAAACTTTCAGGGACACAAAGTAGAATGAAATTAATATAATAATTAATAAATACTTATGATGGAGTGAAAGAATACGATAATTGATTTCAGTAGGGGAGCTTTACTCTGTATAGTGTTGGTGAGAGGGATGGTCAGGGAGGTCTCCATGGAGGAAGCAGAATTTGGGGTTAGAAACTCTGGGCTTCAAATTCTTGCTCTGCATTTTCTAACTGGGAAACATTGTGGAACCCACCAAACCCAACAGACCTGGCTTCACCAGCTTGAGACTCGGGCAAGGTATTGAACCTCTCGGAAATTCAGGTTTTAGCAATGAAAGACTGTTGCAGAGTTTAGGGGTCCTCACGTGAAATGTTTACCACAGGGTCACAGCAAATGTTAATACCCTATCCTGTTTACATTTATCACAGACACATCACTTAATTTCTTTGGCCCTCAGTTTCTCATCTGGAAAGTGAGAATGAGATGGTTTACTCCACAAGGTGGCTCGTGGAAACACAATGCATGATGAGTTTGAAGGCTGTTGGTAAATGACAGAGCTCTATAAGACTCCTGTGATTTCTATGCCCGTTTCTTTTTGTAAAAATTGATTAATTAATTTATTCTAATTAGATATTGAGTGCAGGATGCATTTTGATTCATTGTACACAATTGCAGTACAACTTTTCATTTCTCTGGTTCTGCACGATGTAGCATTGCACCTTATGTATAGTCATACATGTACCTAGGGTAAGGATGTCCATCTCATTCCACCATCTTTATTTCTTATGAGACCCACAGAACCACAAGCCATGTGAAATTCTCCTTCAGTGTGTTGCTCAAGGTGTGTTGCTCTCTGTGGCACTCAACAGACTCGCTAGCAGGAATTCTAATTTTTGGCATTTTTTCCCATCCCTCTAAAGTCATTTATCTGGAAAAGTTACATCAGTATAACATTTTCCAGTAGTGAAGTGGGAGGAATAGCTGACCAATGAATTTAGAAAAGATTTATGTTTTAGATTTTTTTCCAACTGGAGTGTTGACACTAATAAATTGACCTTTTATTCTTTTCTTTGTGGTACAGCTGAAATTTATAGAGTTTTGTTTGGTTTTGACAATGCACTACATAATAAGTAAAGATTAAAATGATTAATACAAATGCAAATTATGTCAATACTTATGGTCTACAACTTGTAGCAGATAACAGATGTCCCTCACACCAAAGGAAGTGATTCTCTATTGGATAGTCTGTTCCTTACCCGAAGAATCACTTGGGCTTTTTCTACCAGACGTAGGATCTCGTAGAATGAGTACTCTGTATACTTTCTTCAGTAATTCTTTTTTAGCTTAAGAAGAAAAATAAAAGTTGCAGTGCTGTGAGGCCTTTGGGGAGCTGTATGAGGAACTCTTGATTAATTCCAGACTGAGCAGCTGAATTCAAGCACAGCAGAGTCTTGCTGGTGCTTTCAGAGGCTCACCCACATGTTCCAAGAAGGTGACACTAAGAGCAGATGTTCAAGCCTCTTTGGGTTAGCAGGAACTTTACTTCTTTCCATCAACTGTAAAAAATTCAAGCTGGCCACTCACTAATCATCCAGGCTAAATTAGGGAACAGGGGTGAGAAGTTCCTCTAGAACTTCAGAAGTTAATTTTCATCATGTTTACCATATAGATCCACTTAGCACAGGGCTGGCATGCCACCATTAGTAGAGCTACTCAATCATTGTGAACCATAAGTATGTTTTCATCCCATATTCCCTAGTAGAAAGGTTGTATAAACTATAAGCAAACTGTTTCAGGTCTCTACTGTCTTCTGAGAAAGGCATCCTTTGAAATCAGTGTTACCTTGACTTACTAGTTGATATGTAGTACCAGGGCATAAATTCAGTTTTATAAAATACATTATGTACCACAGTTGACCTAAGCTTTTGGTGTTGGCAGGGTGGAAGATAAGACAGAAGAGAGTTTCTGCACTTAGGGAATTTAGTCTTGTGGAAAATATGAACCATCACATATATGATATTCTTATAAGGCAATTGCATAAGGAAGCTTATTTTAAAAATAAATGGTTGAACTCTGGACTATCAGCTATAAACAGGGTAATATTGGTCAGAGCCAGTGAGTCGGCTGGGAGCTGCACAGAACTGAAGTGGGCCCTGAAGAATGGGTTGATCTGCAGGGAGAGAAGCCTGTTGAATACCCAGGGACCATAAACTAGGTACACTGACCTGGAAAGCCTGTGTGTTCCTATTTGAGTTCTTTCAGAGACGTGATATCATCAGAAAAGGTGTTTAAAAGAGCCATGAATCTCCAGAGCCTTATAATTAGAAGTACCAAATAAAAATGCAAATCCCTTGTTTGGGGTTTGATAATATTTAGATTTTAAAGAGCATCCTTTTTAAAAACATTTTTTTGAAGACATCTATTTCTAAAAATAATTGTTTTAGAAGGAAAAATGTATGTTTTAGTCAGCATTTTCCTGGCAGTGATTAAAAAACCTGACAAGAAAAATTTTAGAGGAGGAAAAGTTTACTTGGAGGCTCACGGTGTCAGAGGTCTCAGTCCATGGACAGCTGACTCCATTCCTTGGGGCTTGAGGTGAGGCTGCACATCCTTTCTTTGGCTGCTGGTGAGCACCTTGGGATAAGCCTGAGTAAAGTGCACTTTATGTGTAAGGGGACCACCTTACAGTAGAGAGTGGTGGAGGGAAGAGGCTCATGTAATGACCAGAACCAGAGGGACACTTCACTTGTCAGATACAAAATATATACCCCAAAGCCATGCCCCTCCAGTGCTCACCTTCTCTAACCACACCCTACCTGACTTCAGTTACCATTTAGTTAATCCCCTTCAGGAGATTAATTCATTGATTGTGTCAAGGCTGCCATAACTCAGTCATTTCTCCTCTAAACCGTTTAGCATTGTCTCATACATGAGTTTTGGGGTGACACCTCACATCCGAACCATAACAGCAATCATAAAGAGATCCT